GTCTTGCACAATTCACAGCGCTTACCAGAGCACATACCCTCCCCAGTGTTTATCACCCAGTTCCCCCTTCCCTCCCACTCCGCCCCCCACTCCAGCAACCCTGTTTGTTTCCTGCAATTAAGAATTCCTCATATCAGTGAGGTCATATGATACATGTCTTTCTCTGTTTTAATTATAGCTTCTGAAGACAGTCATTTTAATAGCTTGAAATATATAGATGAGTTTGATTTGTGATTCTGTGTTATTGATATAAACCTAAATCATTTTCTTTGTATTAGGTCGGCATCACCCTCTTCACTGTGTCACATAGAAAGTCTCTTTGGAAACACCATGAGGTTTGTATTTCTTATATTGAATGGTATAGTGGAATTTTATCTTATTTAAATATGTGAATTCAGGTGATTATGGTTTTAGATCTTGGTGTATGTTCTTATAACCATATACCTTGAAGGACAAAAGGTGATTCTAGATTTTCCTTAAATATTATTGTAGTTGTCAGTTTTGAAAGCTGTAATACATACTAAGCCCTAGTTGATTTGAGAGATATTAGAGAGCCAGTTAGTGGTTCTCCGTTTTTATAAATGATTATTGTATAACAACTAAAATTTACACAACCTTATCACAGCTATGGCTAAGTAAAGTTTTTCTCACCACCCAGTATTGACAGAAGGGGAAGAGTCTTAGGAAGGATTAGATGGCAGAAAGTTTAAGGACATTTCTAGTGAGATCATGGCTGTAAGGGGAAACTGAATTATGTCAGCTGTGTTCATCATTGCACTGTAATAACATAGAATCATTAAGTAGTCACTATAATTGATGTAGAGATTACAGTGAGGTTTGCACTGGTACAGATCCCTTATGTATCCTGGTTTTAGCAGTGCCACTCATTCTCAGTGTGGCAGTTCTTTTCAGCTCTTCATGTAAAATGATCAGCCCCCCAAACTAAACCCTGTTAACTCAACTCTTCCCTCCCCTCCCCTTCCCTTTCCCTCTCTCTTTCTCTCTTCTCTTCCTTCCTTCCTTTTTTCCTTCCTAAATGATAAAGACATTTCAGGTAAAAGGAAGGGTTTGAGAAAAATTAAATGGTATGGGGTATCTTGTTCCATAAAATACATACCTGATGGAGCAACTTTTTCGCCAGGTACTGGGCTAAATGTCCTTGGGGGACACAGAGTACTGTCATTACCCTCAAGAACCTTATGGTTAAGATGAGAGTGTACAAATGATAAAATGAAGAGCATGGGATTTGAAGTCAGAAAACCTGGGTTCAAGCACCACTGTTTCTGGCATCAGTTGCTTCCTTCATATAATAAAGTTTATTGATCCTTGCCTTCCTGTCTCCTAGATTACCGTGAGCATCGAAGAGGTAGCCTGTATGAAAGTATTTAGTAAAAATAATGGAATTCTATATATAGCTGTGTGACTTTTAAAGATACTTTTTATTATCTTATGGTATATTACAATTTGTCCATTTTTCAGAATGAAATGAGAAGTTGAATAACTAATAATCAAAGCAGTTTAAAAAGTATCCAAGCCTTTGTGTTTTCTCAGGAGCTCGTAAACGTCACAGCCACAGGGCTGTGGGAGTGCTTGGATTTGACCTCCCCTCTTCTTCTGGTCAGGGAGACAAGCACAGAATGTCAAGCAGTGATTATGTGAAGGAGGGATGACACAGACCGCAATGTCAGAGGCCAGAATAGCTAAGAAATAATAAGATAGAAGATGGAAAAACACGTCTTTTCCGTAAATAAAAAGTTGCTAAATAAAACAAGCCTTTGTAACTGCTGTCCTGAGTGTCTTCATAGGATGGGATATACAGGCATATATACATAGAGCTCTTTTCCTCCTCTTCTAAGACCAGGAACAAATCAAAAGCCTTAAGTTAGAGGTTCCGAACTGATCCAGGAGACCAGATAAAGGAAGTATTCAAGACTGCGCTATTGAATAGGCTTACGCTTAGCACAGTTCAGCCTGTGGTACATCAGATCCTTGGTTGCGGAGTTACGGAAGCATTCTGATTTGTAGGGTGCTTAAACATTTGATTCCTTCAAAATAATGAGGAATTTTGGTATTTTAGTTCTCATAAAGGAAAGTACTTTGTCCACTCCAAGCAGAATTATGTTGTTGCTATATTAAAAAGAGTGGATTTCTTCATTTAGTCTTACCTTTCTGGGTATAAAACTTCCTGAAGGTATTAGTGGCTTAAAATAATTTCCAATCATTTTCTTGTATAAAAAACTCTACATAAAATCCTGACAAAAAGGAAATTCTCTTAGTCACTGATTTCCCCCCCCCCCCCGCTTCTTTCCTGTAGTACTACCTGCATATGGATGGCAGAGGCAATTATGAATTCAAACAGATAACAGAAGATACGGTTGAGTTTGGCTCTTAGAATCCGGAGAGCTGTACTGCTTCAATGAAATCATTACAGAACACACTTAGAAATATACAGTACATTGTAAAATAAAGTTGGGCTTGTTTTTTTTTTAAACAAAACAACAAATTAATTAGATATGAAATAATTGAGAACAAGTTGTTAAACCATTTATTATATAGGATCTTGCTAATTGTGTATATGTTGGTTTAATTATTAATATGTACTAAGAATGTCCTTATTCTTGTGGTTAAAAACCTGCCTAAATTAAATTGGGCTTAAATCAGTGTAACCTGATTCATCCTGGGATGTAAACCATTTGAAGTCAGCTAATTTGACTTTTATGGCTCTATCTTTTCCTTCAATGAAGAACCCTATTTAAAACTGGGGTCATCATTTATCCTGTTCTAACAAGATAGTCTTGAGTTTCATTTTCTTGTGCTCCATGATAGTGGGAAACAAATCATAGTATATTATCAAAATGTACACCACCAATGCATCATGGCATTTATTACCCAGTGGCAGATTTCAGTAGCTGCCACTGTTAGACTCATTCCTTGTGTAGATCTTGGGGTACGTTTGACTCCAGGAAAGCCATTTGAATTTATTTTGGCTAAATAATAAATGTGCCCCTCTCAGTCTGCAGTATTGAGTTGTTTTGAGGGTTCTTTGTGGGTATATAACAGAAGTTTATGTGCAGTCTTGCTTACAAGGGGGCGGTTACTATGCTTCACATCTAATCTTCCCAATGTTTGGGATATTAAAACATAAAGTCCTTATATGTCAAGCTCAAGGTCTTTAATGAGAGTTTTGGATTTTTTAAAAGAATTGAATGGATCTGTGTATGTTAGCAGCCCATTCATTGGAAGTACGGTGGTTACATGGTGTTAAACTCCCAGTGAGCCACAGGAATGCACTACATGAACTAATGCACTGAGTATGCAATGTTATCACTGTCTTTGACTGTGACTTTATGTTTAAAAAAATATGTTATAATTACGCACATGGGTGAATTATGTTTCCTAGGCACTGGTTTATCTCTGTGAATCTTGAATAACTTTTTTATATTTGGGTTATTATGTTGAACTATCCTAAGATAAATTGATTTCACCTCACCAAGCCACCATTAATGACTTACATGTGTTATTTGCACAGGGAAAACTGAAACTGAATTTTATCAATAAGCTAGATATGAAATCAGTTTTATCAGACTAGGGTTCAGAAATGGGCATTTTATACTCTTGTTTCTGTATACCTGAGTTTTGGGTTTTTTTGCAGAATTAACTATAAGAATCACCGGCTACCAAAGTAAAACTTGATGTACTGATTCCATAATACGTAACATTCAGTTTTTACCACTCTCTTTGGCAAACTTGTCTACTTACTTATTTTTTGTTCAGATTAAAAAGAATCAGATATCCTGTACAACCTTTGCTTGTTCTTTTTATTCTGGTATGTAAAAACTGGGTAGTTCATACATAGTTCATACAGTCTTGACTTGAAAAACACAAAAATAAATTGATATGCAGACATTCCTTTTAGTACACAGTGTCTCTTTTATAAAAAGTTATGTCAAATGTGATTTTTAACAGAATAATTTTCTCTTTTAGAAAAGTCACATAGATTCTGAGGGTTCTAGAGGGGAGGGGGGTGAGGGGATGGGTTAGCCTGGTGATGGGTATTAAAGAGGGCACGTTCTGCATGGAGCACTGGGTGTTATACGCAAACAATGAATCGTGGAACACTACATCAAAAACTAATGATGTAATGTATGGTGATCAACATAACATAATTAAAAAAAAAAGAAAAGTCACATAAAACCTTCAGTATACCAGGGCACCTGGCTGAGTCAGTTGGTGGAGCACATGACCCTTGATCTTAGGGTCACGAGTTCGAGCCCCACATTGGGTAGAGATTACTAAAAAAAAAGTTAAACCCCACAAACTTCAATGTACCTCACAAATGCTACCAAATAGCCAGGAGACCTTAAAAGATAACTATCAGTCCTGAGAAAGAGTTTCAGTTATGGGGGCAGTTGGAGATTTTCGGATTTCTAGATTATCCTGAACCTACTAATTCCTTCCATAATGGATTCTTATCATCAAAAAACCATTTGGGGTTCTTTTTTTCTTTCTTTTTTTCTTCCTTTTAAAATTTAACAAACATTAAAGTGCTTCACCGTTTGAGGCATAGAGGAATATCCTTTTCCTGGAGAATCACCATATATACTAACATAATGATGGTTCTACAAAGACCTACAATGAAAAATCCATCATTTCTAAAACACGATTGGCCATGAAACATCTTTTTCCTCTCAGTTCCTCTTAGCATCTTCTAGGTTGCACTGGGAAATGGCAGCTTAATCTGAAAAATAAGCTAGAGAATAAACTTCATCCATGGGCAACATACTGCATCCCAAGTGTACCACTCTGTGTTCTAATACCAAGCTTCTATTTTTCCTACAACAGAAAATAGGGGTGTAAACAGCTATGTATGTTTGCTGTGCACCAATAGAATAAAATGTTATCGGGGCGCCTGGGTGGCTCAGTCGTTAAGCGTCTGCCTTCGGCTCAGGTCATGATCCCAGGGTCCTGGGATCGAGCCCCGCGTCGGGCTCCCTGCTCAGCAAGGAGCCTGCTTCTCCCTCTCCCTCTGCTGCTCCCCCTGCTTGTGTTCTCTCTCTCGCTGTCAAATAAATAAATAAAATCTTAAAAAAAAAAAAAAAGAATAAAATGTATCTAGGGCTTGCCTCTGCAGGGGAGGCAAAATTTTACCTCTACCCTATTTGGGTTTTTGGCTGGGCCTGAGAATTAAATTGACATAAGACGGGTAAACAGGAAAAAAATATACAAGTTTATTTAATCAAGTTTTAGGTGATACGGAAGCCCTCATAAGGAGATGGCCCAAAGAAGTGGCAAAACCTGAAGGGTTTTTATACCAGGTTGAACAAAGAGAGGCAATCGTGGAGAAGTAAATAAACTATGTCAAACGAAGCCAAACGAAGATAAGAAATAAGTAAGGTTTGTGTAGAATTCTCTCAGTCTCGACATCCCGTCCTTGATGATGAGAATGGTACTTTCCTTCTGGTTTAGGGAGGACATCTTCCGTATGTATTAGCTTGTTTTCAGGAAGAAAAGGGGGAGAGTCAGAGTGCCCTTCCTGCACCTGTGTTTTTAAGTGTTTATAGCTCAAAAACAGTCAACGCCAAAGTGGCATATTCTGGGGTTGCATATTTTGCCACCTGTCACCTTGTTCCCCTCTCGTATTAATTAGCATTTGACTTAAAACGAATGATACTATAGTGTCTATCATTTCCTTATGTACTTTTTAAACTTTTAAACTTGGTGTTTAAAAGTATAATTTGCCTAAAGGCAGAGTGAATGTCAGATGGACTTTAGCGTTGTTAGTTGTAGGAAACTGTTTACATTTTTACCTGTATCAGTCATTTTTCCTTTGTGAATAATTGAAATGTCCTGACCTATAAACATATCATATGCATGTCACTTAAAAAATCTATTATCAAAAATTACTGAAAACCAGTTCCCTCTTCATCCCTAGGGGTAAACATTTTAAATTGTCTTGTGGTGATTGCTTTTTTTTTTTTTCTTATTTTTAAAATAATATGCTATACAGCTATTTCTTGATATATTAATTTTAGACATTTACTATTGCCCATTTTGTTACTGGCCTGACCCCCTGAACTCAGGACTGACCTCCCGAACTCAAGAAACTGATAGAAGCTTCTACCTCGAGTTTTACCTTTTAAAGCTAAACTGCTGGAACAGAAAAAGAAACATTTGAGGAAGACACTGAAAAGATGAATCAGAAAGTGCCTCAGCCTCATTATAATGTTAAAATCCTCTCAATATTCATCCCAAGCCCTATTCAGAGGAGCCTGCCTCCTCCTGTTCAGGGAGTCACTGCTTTGGAAATTATTCCCTGTGAGCTCCTTTGTACAAATAGGGTGACCTTGTGAGGCAGCTCCATCCGGTGCATTCTCTGTCTATAGCTCCCCAAGGAGCCATCCAACTTTGGTCCAGTAACGAATTTGGTGACCCAGAGGGGACTCTTGTCCTTCAGAGCTTCCACCCTCTAGTTCCCTCCTTTCCAATGGGCAGAGCAGTGGGCAACAGCAGCTAGCCCAGGCTGTTGGGGTCAGGTGGGGGTTTCTTGGGGGGACTCTCCCTTCCTGGTGCCTGTGTTACCCTACAACCTTAGAAACAAGGCTGGACCCAAAATCACAGGCGCAGGTGGCTTTCCAGTGGTTACAGCTGTAGCTGGATGGAGGAGGTACAGCACAAAGAGGAGGGCGGTGCTTATACAAAGTTCCCACAATGGTTCCCACTGCAGTCCGATACGCTAATAAGAGAAAGGAAAAAGTGCCTCATCCTGACTGGGTGAAAAGGCCTTGTCCCGAACTCTCCTTACTGGCAGGCAACTTAGGTAGCTCATTGGTGCTTTTTACAAAAGGAGTCTTCTGTTGGAAGCGGACTTACATACGGCGCCCCATCCAGGCCACAGTCTCGTGCTCAGAGAAGCAGTTTAACAGGAGCAGCCCCAGGTGCATAACGTTTGTCAGTTGGGGCCTGTTCCCATAGTCCCTCACTGTCGCACCTTGTTGCTTTGTTGGCATCGCTGCCCCATTGGGACACCCAGCAGCTGCCCTGAGCCTTTTGTTCAGAGGATCCTTCCATGGAGGTGGGTGGTGCTGAGCTCACAGCATGACCAGAAGAGCTACTCTTTTGAGTTGTCTCACAAAGTCTGGGCAATTTGGAGAAAAAAAAAAAAAGCTTGTTTAATGAAGCCAAACTTGTTCAAGTCAAGCTGGGGGATTGAATGCTCCTTTAAGTCCAGCCTAAACATCCCAGGGTGAAGGATTACAGCACCAGGCCATTTAGGGACTCAGAAGCTTCAGCCTAGCAAAGCGGGAACAATCCATCGAGGGCTTAAGAGTGGAGCCTGGGTACCTGTTTGTTTGGTCTATCTGTCAGGGACACCTGACATTGTTGTGTTGTTTAAAAACCCATCAGCCTTCCCAGAAAGGCTGTGGGATTGTCTAAAAAGGCATACAAATTCGGACCTCGAGGCCCAAGGTAGTCAAGTGGTCCTTAATACCTATTTCATATCTCAAAGTGCTCCAGATATCTGCAGAAAACTTCAAAAATTGGCAATAGGTCCCAACACTAACTCCACTCGGTTGACAGAGACAGCTTTTAGGGTGTTCAATAACAGATGTGACAGGGGATGAAAAAGAAGACAAGAAAATGACAGTAGCTCCAGTCGGCATGAGGTAACCCAGGGGAAGAAAGGAAGTCCCCATGGGTAAATGTCCCCAGACCCAATCCTGGGACCAAGAGACCAGAGACAAAGTTGGGTTACAATCGGTGTGCATACTGTAAGCAAGAGGGGCATTGGAATCAGTTAGCCCAAACTGCCCGGGAAAGGGAAGAGGGATGAGCAAAACCAAATCACTCCAGTTGCCCCTCATAGAAAACCAGATCCTCATTTCCTATGAGGAGCCCCTGTGGCCTTAGCAGTAGGAGAAAAGGCAGTTGAATCTTTCCTTGAGATTGGAGCCACCTTTTCCCTATGGGGCACCCAGAACGGTAGCCTTTCCAATAAAAATGTAACATAAGGGAGTCTCAGGAAAAGAAGAAACCAAAAGATTTCTGGAGCCTTTGACCTGTGAAATGGACGAAGATAACTAAAGCACTCCTGTTCAAAACCTGGCCCTCAGCTTCCATCAGGTTACTTGTTGTCAAGGATAAGTACAAATCATAACAATAAGGTTTTGTTTGTGCCTGTCTAGGTGGTATTTTTGACCTCTGGATGGTATTGCTAAAAGTAATTTATAAAAGAACTCTATTTGGTTTAAAGGCAAGTCCTTGTAAAAATTGGGCATTCTGAACCTCAAAGATAAAAACTAACCCAAATGCTTTTCAAGTTCACATGACCTGCAATAATCTCTTGTAAATTAAAGTCCGAATTTGTTGAATATCTGCATGTCTTGTGGAGTTATCAACATCAAATACAATACAGATAATCAACTTTTATTTTACCTGAATTCACGGTGCATCTGTTGCAATTTGTCAATAAAAATGACTTTAAGTGACGGTTGATTTTATCTGGGAAATTGTTAAGAACAAGTTGGTTGAATAAATTAAAAAGTCCTGTAGGTAAATTTATAAATAGCTTCCAAAATCTGTGGTAACTTAAAACTTTTAAGATTTTGCTGGATTAGATGATAAACTGGGTTGAATTCATTAGATATCTAAGTAGGATAAAATATGGAAAAATTGATTACTAAACATAGACTTACTCACTTTGGTCCTGTTACAGAGAAACTAATGATAAATTGGGTCTGTTAGTAAACATGTTTTATGCTTTATCAAAAATAGTACTATGAAAAGGACACGTTTCTAGGAACAATGATGTATTCAGAAATTTGCTGATTTAAAGAATTCTGGTGTAACAGTTCACAGTTGCTTTACTGCTTAGTTTTTCTAGAAATTAAGGTCTCTAGGGGCTCCTAGGT